GTTCCTTCGATGGAAAGACAAAAGAGGCTCATAGGATGACTAAGGTGTACTCATTTTGGACTGGGAAGGTTTGAGAGAGTGGTGAGGGAGGCCATCCATGTGCATATAGGAAATCCCTCACTCAACTGGGGTGGAGTCCTTAGAAGTAATCTGTCTCCTATGGATCAAACTCCCCTTTCATCCCTCCCCAGAGAGATCAAGACCACACTCACCAGAAAGGCCACAGTTAATGACCCTTAATGACCCATGACAATAGGTGGAGAAAGACGGGAAAATGCAAATCACTTGCAAAAAGGAGAGGTTTTTGTGGCTGCATCCAAACAAGAGGATGAAGACGTCCCAGGACAGAGTATTTCGATAAAAGACCTCAGCTGGAACAGGGGGAAAATCTTCAAGACATCTCATAAAATCATAGACTAACTAACATGGAAGGGGTCTGTAAGGCCATCAAGTCCAACCCCCTGCTCAAGGCCAGAATCCAAGTCAAAGCAGATTTGATAGAGGGTGGTCGAATTTTCTCTTCAAGGCCTCTAGTAATACAGCGCTCAACACCTCCCAGGTGATGGGTTTCGTTGTCGTACTGCTCTAACAGTTAAGATGTTTTTCCTGATATTCAACCTAAAACTTAGCTTCCTGTCACTTGGGCCCATTATAACATGTCCTGCACTCTGGGATGATGATTGAGAACAGATCCTGCCCCCTCCTCTGTAGGACCGCCTTTGGAGTCTTTGAAAAGTGTGATCCTATCTCCCCCCAGTCTTATTTTCTCAAGGCTTTGCTGGAAAAGACGCAGTAACCAGCCACGGACGCCTCCGTGGAGCCTAGAAAGAATCGCTGCCACTTAAAACTCTGTGCGTTTATTTATTTAGAAATAGCTGATCTTATATTGTTTATTGTTCCCAGTGGGTCCCCCCACCCCCCCGGCCGTTAGGAGTTATTCTGGGAATAAGACCAGGAGAACTACCGATGATTTACTCACTTTCAAATATTTGCCTTTAATGGTTTCCCACTTTCCCTCTTCATTTGCTCTCTCTAGTTCTATTTCTTATTGAATTATTAATATTTGCACATCTCTGTCCCATTAGGGTGGGGACTTATGTTCACTGCGAGTGGGAATTATCAAAGATGGAGCAGGGGAAGGGATTCTTAATCATGGGTTTAATTGACCTTGTTCAAAATATACGGGCGCTGGCTCCATCATTGCTAGGTTTGCTTTCGTAGTGTTAAACACGGGCGAACCTCTTCACAGGTATTTCCAGGCCTTGACTATATGAAGGACCTTTAAAAAAAATTAAACAAAAGAATTTAGGAATACAGGATACTGCCTTCTAACAAGTCAGATCCTCAGTCTGTCTAGCTCTGTACTGAGTTCTCATTTCGGCACTGGTGAGACCTCATCTAAGAGTCCGTTGTCCAGTTTTGGACGCAGAACTTTAAGAAGGTTGCCAAAGAACAGGAGCCAGTTGAGAGGAGAGGAACGAGGATGATGAAGGCACTGGTAACCAAGCCCTAAGAGGAAAGACTGAAGCAACTGGGCCGGTTTAGCCTTGAGAAAAGAAGACTTAGGGGAGATAGGATAGTATTTTTCAAATCCTTGAAAGATCGTCCTCCAGAAGAGAGACGGGATCTGTTCTCGATCATCCCAGAATGTAGGACACGTCATAATGAGTTCACACCACACGGAGCCAGATTTAGACTGAATATCAGGAAATAATTTCTCAACTGTTAGAGTTAAGGAAGCACAGTGAGTCATTGAAATCTCTCAACCTCTTACCTTCAAACTTCTTATACGGAGACATGAGCCATTCTATCTCAAAGTAATGGGGTTTATTTTGAATTGGCTAGAAGACACGCGATTCATGGATTAAAACAACCCCTAATCAGTCGAGATGATGCCAGTTCAAAATAAAATATTTCATGATACTAATCATGTGACAGCACATATGTTGACACTTTTCAGGGTTTTCTAGCTAGAGAGTACTCAGAAGTGCACTACCGTTCCCTTCCTTTAGGGGGCATCCTTGGGACTGTGTAGCTGGCCCAAGGCTACCCAGGCTGGCTCTTCTCCCAGGAGGTAAGGAATCAAACCCCTGACCTCTAGCTCCACAGCTATGTACCCAACTTCTCAAGATATCTAAGCTGAGGTTGATCTATTACACCGTTTTTAAAACAGTAAACAAGAATTCCCTGTTGTATATGCTTCCCCCCACCCCAAAAAACGGGCAAACTTTTCCCATTAAAGGTGTGGGTTTAGCTCTATCCGTCTTTCCCACCCAAGCAAACCCTGCTTCTCTATTCCTTTCACCTGGCTCCAAGAAAAGATGGTTTTAGGATTCTTTTCAGCCGCTTAGCCGTTCCTATTCCCTTTCCACCCGCTGTTTGTTTTCCTTAGCAGCCTGGATTAACATTGGTCTTGACTTCTCCCCTCTTATTATTTAAAGGGTGAGATAATATTTTCTTTTGCTTGGGAAAACGACCAAGGTTCAGGTAAGGCTCTTGACCCTTCTCCAGTAATCTTCCTTTTTCTCGGCTGCGGCTTTTTTCCCTACAGTTTTTGTCCAGTCTTTCCAGAAAGATTGATGGCTGAAGGACGGTTGAGTTTTCTGCACTAAAAAACTGGACGCATGCTAGGAGCATGGACACACTCTGCATTTGCCCATTTTGGATAGGATTTTATTCTCACTCAATGAAGCAAACATTTCTTTAGGAGCATGGACACACTCTGCATTTGCCCATTTTGGATAGGACTTTATTCTCACTCAATGAAACAAACATTTCTTTCCCTTCCATTAATCATCATCATCATCATCATCATCATCATCATCATCATCATCATCATCATCATCATCATCATCAACCTGTGCCATCAAGCCAACAGCAAACTTTTTAAGGGGTTTTCCAGGTAGAGAATACTCAGAACTTATTTCCCATTCCCTACTTCTAGGTTGCCCTGGGACGGTGCAGCTGGCCCAAGGCTACCCAGGCTGGCTCTTCTTCTCCTGTGGTGCAGCTGGCCCAAGGCCACCCAGGCTGGCTCTTCTTCTCCCGTGAAGCCCAGCAGGGGAATCGAACTTCCAACCTCTGGGTCTTCAGCCCAAGACTTAAGCCACTGAGTTATCAAAATAGACCAGTCCTGCAGTAGCGTCCTACTTAATAAGACAACCAGGAATGACCATGGAGACATTCCATTCCAATCAAACTCCCAACCTCTGGGTCTGCAGCCCGAGACATAAGCCACTGAGCTATCAAAATAGACCAGTCCTGTAGTAGCGTCCTACTTAATAAGACAGCCAGGAATGACCATGGGGACATTCCATTCCGTTCTTCCTACAACCGGGTTTTCCTACTCCGTCAAAAATCAGTTAACTTCCTTGGTCTCCTAACCGGACTGTTCTCTGCTTTGTTTATTTCTCTTCAAAGATGCTTCTGTATGCCTGCAAATCTTGAGATTTCTTCCTAACAGCTGATCCTAACAGCCGCCTAGAGTGGTCGAAATGACTAGATAGGCGGGGTATAAATCCAACCAACCAACCAACCAACCAACCAACCAACCAACCAACCAACCAACCAACCAACCAACCAACCAACCAACCAACCAACCAACCAACCAACCAACCAACCAACCAACCAACCAACCAACCAACCAACCAACCAACCAACCAACCAACCAACCAACCAACCAACCAATCAATCAATCAATCAATCGATCGATCCTCCCTTTTGCATGGGGGGCTGTACCGTGCTGGCTACCTAAACAATGGACACTTACTTCCGAGCACCACTTTCCACATGCCATGGATCAGAGTGGCCTCATCCAGCGGTTCCACGTAGCTGGGTTTTCCAAAGCTGAGGGGAAAAGGAGAGGAGCAAAGGATTAAAAGACCGCTGACCTAGAAGTGCTAATATGAGGAGCAAAGAAAAAAGAAAGAAAAAAGCTTGATGACTTTTTTTGTGCTGAATAGTTGTGAAACCAGAGGCAACTGCTTTATTAATCAGGCTACATTTCCCATAATTCTCTATTTTGGAAACTTTAGCAGACACACTCCTTGTAGACAGGTTAATGTGGCTCGCCTGGGAAAAAGGCCTAGACTAAAAGGCTGTGAGGCCCAGTTAGGCCTAGTTCCTCCCAAGCTTCCCGTTCGCAGGTTGAACTAGGCCTAGCTTTTTTACCCCATCTTTCTCCTTAAAAATAGACCCAAGGTGGGTTACATCACTAAAAAACAATATTTATAGCTAAAAACTGTAAATATACACAACTGAAAGGGATCAAACAAGCACATTAAAAACAGTCAACAAAATCAACACTAAAAACACATTCATAGTAACAAGACACAACAATCCGTTTAATAACCCCGGTCACTCAGGGAAAGCCTACTTGAAGAAAACGGTCTTTGCCTGCTTGCGGAAGGACAGCCAAGATGGAGCCAGGCTGGCTTCCAGTGGCAGGGAGTTCCACAGTCTGGGAGACGCCACAGAGAAGGCCTTATCCTGCGTCCCCACCAGACGCACCTGAGGACACGGCGGGAGTGAGAGAAAGGCCTCCCTTGATGTTTTTAATACCCAAGCCGACTCATAAAGGGAGACACGGTCCTTGAGAAAACTTGAGCCCAAGCTGTTTAGGGCTTTATAGATTAGAACCTACACTTTGAATAGTTTCCGGATATCCCCTTTTAGTTCCAGCATTGGAAGAAAAGTGGGCTATAAATCAAACAAATGAACTATGGAAATAAATAAACCATGTACATTTGTTTGTCTGTTGGATATCTAAAACGGGAGCGAGGGGGGGGGGGAACCAGCCGGTCTGTTTTTCTTGCAAATAAATTCATCATGATGATGTTAATGCTAATCAGATCCCCTTTTAGCACTCGAGGACAAAAAAAACGCTATAGATCTTCCTAGTAGCTGGATCTGGTACTCATTTAAAGGTTGCTTTGAAATGTTATCTTTCCAGCTTGTTTGCTGTTTCCTCTTTTTAATTTTTTTCTCTCTCTCTCTCACAGAGGCCTCTTCGGTCTTCCTTGATCAGCCCTGGACATGTGTTCCCCATTTAGACAAAAAGAAACTTTTCACACATCACAAAACAGCCCAGCTCGGAGTGGAGTGGACGCTTGTGATCGGAATGCAAGGGAGGCCAAACAGATCTGCAGGGGAACGTGGGATGACCGGTTGATATCCTCTGACCCATTCAGGTGGGTTGGTTTCAGCCCTAAGTTTTCCCGAAGACCTATATGCTGGGATCTTGTTATGACCCATAGACAGGGTCCCCATATTAGACTCCAGTGCCAGAAAGAGACCACACTGAAGTCTAATGTCTTGATCTTGTAGAAGTGAGAAAAACAGAGGATTACTTAGAGGTTTCATGGCCCTTTTGTTCAAAGGAAGAAAGACCAAGAATTGCACAATTCTTATTAATTAGCATCTTTTCTGCACAAGATTCATCTGGAGAGAGACGAACTGTGCAGGACTATTTTGATTCCTGCATAGGATGGCGCTGATTCCTGCAGAGGATGGCATTGATTCCTGCACAGGATGGCATTGATTCCTGCACAGGATGGCATGGGAAAACTCATCGGATTTTTCTCAGACACTTTGTGGTAATTTTTTCCAAGGGCCTTTCTCATTAACTGGTATTTAAAGTCCCAGTAACTCCCTCTGAGACATTTGTAGAAGAATAAAAAAACCTTTCTTTACTTACAGTTGCTTAAACATGTGCAGGATTGTCGTGATTCCTGCAAAGAAGGGCATCTGTCTTAGACAGAATGGGCTGGGAAGAGCAAGAAGCTGCAGGGAAGTTGGAGGTCCCTGCACAGAACAAGCAAATTTATATTGGCCTCGCAAGACGACGTTAATTCATTCCACGAAAATCGCTGTTGAGCGAAAACATTGTCTTGCAAAGATCCATCCATCCATCCAACCATTCATTCATTCATTCATTCATTCATTCATTCATTCATTCATTCATTCATTCATTCATTCATTCATTCATTCATTCATTCATTATATGCTGGGGGTTATTTCCTAAGCAGAGCAGAGTCTCAGCAGGAAGGGTTGCTGTGGCGAGATTCTAAAAATCACTAAGAATGAGAAGGTTTCTGAGTCCTTGTCATACTCCTAAATCTACCACCAGTGCGATACTTGCCACCAGAGGCTGGAAGCATAATTTTTCTGGACTATAATTCCCAGAATTCCTCAGCCAGCATAGCATATAGCAGCCGAAAACCTCATCATAAAGCGTATTCATCATCATGCAAAGCAATCGTCTTGCGAGGCACCACTGTATATATTGCCTGTTCATTCATTCATTCATTCATTCATTCATTCATTCATTCATTCATTCATTCATTCATAATATATATGTTGGGGGTTATTTCTTAAGCAGAGCAGAGTCTCATCAGGAAAGGTTGGTGTGGCGAGATTCTAAAATCACTAAGAATGAGAAAGTTTCTGAGTCCTTGTCATACTCCTAAATCTACCACCAGTGCGATACTTGCCACCAGAGGCTGGAAGCATAATTTTTCTGGACTATAATTCCCAGAATTCCTCAGCCAGCATAGCAGGGGATTCTGGGAGATTCAAAAAGGGATGCTCCTAAGCACGATTTACTGTCGACATTAAGTTCTGGGTAGCATGATGGGACTCCAAACCATAGAGTCCTAGAAGACTGCGGGGAAGAAAGTCTCCTCGCCTTCCTGAAATGACAGGAAAGGAAGAATAAGATATGTTTTAGTATTACAATTCCCAGCATCCCCTGACTAACATGGTTGGCTGGGGATTTTTTCCAGCTCTAAAGTCTTGGGATAGGCAGAGTGGTACCTACTGGCTGATCTCCGCATGATTTAGGGTAGGCTGACTTGACGAGGGGTATTTTTAGCCTCGATGCCGTAAGGTTTTGGGTCTTAGCCAAGTATCCGGACAGCAGGAAACGAGGATGGAGAGAGACTGGGTGGTTAGATCAACACCGGTGGTGTAATCCGACCATTTCTGCAAATACATATTCGCAAAGACTAACAAGAGGCAAGAGGGACCTTGCTTTTTCGGAAAGTTACATTTTTTGAAGCTTTCTGGGTGGAATACTGCAGCGACAAGCCAGAAACAAGCCCCAGAGGCTGGAAACTTTTATTTTATTTTGCTTTATTTTGGATGACAATCTGAGCTAGCATGACCAGGATTCTGTTGCAGAGTTCTGAATTTCTGACAAAATTCGTTTTTGCTGCACAGCAGAAGCACAAGGAGAAAAATGACAAAGTCCCCCAGAGTCCACCCCTCTCTCATTAACTGGTATTTAGTTAAATGTCCCTCTGAGACATTTGCAGAAGAATTTAAAAAACATTAATTCCTTACAGTTGCCTGAAATTACAGATTTGTGTATGCTGCTTTCTTTACTACACACATACAACCAACCGAACAGGTCAACAGCAAACAAAACGACTGCCACTAACGAGGAACGAGAAAGAAAGAGAACATTTAGCAGATCGTTGGAGCGCTCTTTGAACTTGAAGGCTGGAAGGAATGATTGGTTATTGATGGACAGATATACAATCACCTTAGCCCAGAAATGTCCCTCCCCATCGCACAAACTACAGTTAGAATACAACGTGGCAAATAAAACTCCAGCAGATTCTGAGACTTTTGATCCGGAGAAACAGGAGTCATTTTGACAAACCTTGCTCCAAATTAAAACCGGCTAATTAAGTTTTAAAACGTGAGCGAAAATGATTCAAAGGAGGAAACCAAATACTCTCGTTCACCGCAGATGCTGGAAATATAAGAATACACGTCACTTTCCGTCCCATAAAAAATAACCCTCAACAAATAATCCAAGTGAATTTTAAAATCTACTGGTTTTGCAAGCCTTCTCAACTACGTTTCTAAATACACAGCTTTACTCTTTGCTATTTCTTGCTTTCCTTTCAGCTGTTTCGGTCTGAAAAAGTAGAAGAGAAGACGTTTATTATCTTAACATTTCAGGCCATGATTTATAAACAACTATTCTTGCTCTTTTTCACCTGTTTTTCCTTGCTGGTTAAATTTCGTTATAGCGGGCGGGGGGGGGCGGGATCAATTTTAAATCAGTTCAGTATGCAGGGCTACAACATACCTTGTTTTGATTCCCGATAAGACCTTGAACAAACCCACAAATTTGAGGCATATTAATAGATTATCTGTTAGGTATAGATCCTTGTGCAAGAAAATTGTCAGCAATTTGAGGAAGGAAGAAAGGAAGGAAGGAAATTTAGATTAGGCTCATCTATCAATTTCCATTTTTTTAAGTTCACGTTCTAGTCTTAGATTCGCTTTATCGCAAACGTTGTGTTTTTAAGAAATTGCACGACAAATCATACACCTTTTGTCCAGATTTCTCCGAATGCACAGATTTTTGCACCATTGAAAGTGGGTTACTTTGTTCATCTTCCTTTACAACAACTGAAAAACCGTAAACGATTCCAACTTCTGGTGCAATTTTTCCTCTGTTTTCACAGGCATCATCCATACACAACTTCAGAGAAGATCTGTTCAAAGCAGCTGATGGATGAGTGACTGCCACGGGCAAAGATTTCATCCAGATACAAATTTTTGCCAACAGTTTGTCCAATAAATATATTTTTTGTCCACCAATATATGATGTTTTGTGTGTGTGTGTGTGTGTGTGTGTATGCATTATACGGGCTTTGTTCATAGCAAAACTCCATCTCAAAGTTCAGAGAAGAGCAAATTTCAAAGTAGAGCTAAATTTTGGTTCGTAGTGTGTGTGTGTGTGTGTGTGTGCATTATACAGGCTTTCTTCATAGCAAAACTCCATCTCAAAGTTCAAAGAAGAGCAAATCTCAAAGCAGAGCTAAATTTTGGTTCGTGTATTAGTTCCAACAGGTACATTTATTGTCATTGTTGTTTTGCAGTTTAACCACTGAGCCAATTAGGCAAAGCTTCATATTAAAACAGAAGTCAAATAGATTTCGGTTCCCTAGTTGCTAATCTTTCACAGAGTGTATTTGAGAAATGGAACCAGAGCTGAGATGGAAGATCATTTATTCGAAGAAATGATGACCCAGAAATGCAGAAATTGCAGAAATGGCAACAAGTCCCATCAATAGATGTGAAAGGGAACCTCCATGTTGTGGAGCAGTATAGCTGAGGGATGAAGGACAGAAGAAAACAGCAGCCACTGCTTTGTTCATCATCTTCCCAGAGGCCTTTGATTGCTCGCTGTTTGAAGCTGAGCATTTTGGGAAGCTAGACTGTTATATTGAATTAGATCTTTGCTCCATATAGGCCAACACCGCAAGCTCAGAGCTTTGGCAGGATTTTTTCCTAGTTCCTGATATTCCTTGGTGCTAGAAACGGGATCCTGGGTCCAGGATATTTGTATATGAATACGGATATCCCATCTCTACTTGGTAATCTCCAGTTTAAATACCGCCAAGCCACGTCTTGTAGGGATTTCCAAAATAAGATAAAATTGGGTATGATCATGTGAAATTTTAGATTAGGTAGATCCTTGCTAGGGAAGTTTGAAAAAAATATTCTTGGACTACAAATCCCATAATTCTCCATTTTGGGAGTTCCACCTGACAAACGAGACATCTTACAGACAGCTAAATGTAGCTCGCCTGGGAGATGGGGCTCAACTTGGAAGGCTTTTGAGGCCAAACTAGGCCTAGCTGCACCTTGCTTCCTGCTCAGAAAGAAAACTCCCAGCTGGCACTGGGGCAGGAACAGGAAGTTTGAGTGGAGCTAGGCCTAGCTAGGCCTCAAAGTCTTCCAGTTAAGGCCTTTCTCCCAGGTGGACCACCTTTAGGAGTCTTGTCTGTCAAGTAGAACTCCCAGAATGGAGAATTATGGGACCTGTAGTCCACGAAATCCAGAACTCCGATCCCTTTTTTTGGTCTCATCCATCCATATTTTTACGCGTTGAAGGCGTGCATTTGTTTAAAAGATGATCATAAATTGCTCAGGATTAACCCCAGTAAATGGGTGTTTCTGTCAGGCACGGTATTAATCTATTTCAGACAGCAGGACTCCCTGCTTAGTGTTTATCCCAGATCTGAGATGGGGGTCCTTTGACAAGATGTTATGTACATCTTCCTTCCCAAATCCACCCATCTGATGCACACATGTGGACCTCTGTTATCATCAACCTCCTCAGCTCCTGGGCGTGGTAAAAAAATATCTAGTATATTTTTGCT